CCCCCCGGCCCCCCAGCAACAAAGATTGCCGACCCCTGTTCTAGCCTATGAAACAATGTCTACAGCAGCATGGAAAAGCTCATAAAATTTGCCCCCTACACTGCTGGCATTACAAAATACATAAGCATCAGTGTTAATAATTGTGTGATATGTCACCATTCCAATACTTACTACTCAAAGACATAGGAATATATATATTTAAGAGGAAATTATTTAACACTAATTCATGTACCTTTTTTAAAAAGCTCATATCAGAAGTACTGTATAAGGGGCTGCATTCAGACATTTGCCACCCTATAAATAAGAATGCATTTGCATTTTTCCTTTTGACAAGAAAATCAGAATAATTATTTCTACCTCACAGTAGCTCTTAGTCTACCTCCTCAGTCTACAAAAGTAATTTAAGTGACTTATTTCACTCATTAAGTCTCAAGGGTGCTAGAAGATCCCTTTGCATAGTGATATTCCAGACTAGCATGGCTCTGTATATGAAGTCTACCCCCAAGTGATTGGGGTTTGTCAATACTATCTTGTACTTGGAAGTCTCACAGGGATCTGAACCTAAGTTTGCAACTTGCAACCTCATGGAAATAGCCTGCAGTTACGGTCTAAAAATATTCCGACGTAGTCAGCCATGCAGCAAAATACAATAAAATACCACAAAACAGTGATACCCTTTTAGGGGGCGGGGGGTGGGGCGGGACAGAACTGAAAAGCACAAACTACAACATGCAAGCCTTCAAAGCTCCACTGACTTCTTCATCAGACAAAAGATGTTAACAAATCTTACAGATGAAAAAAAATGATGTTACAGTCACAAGCCTATATTTTGTATCAGATGTTGTTTCTGTTGTAGTTAAGTTGATCTGAAGGGATCTCAGTGCAGCCAGAAGCCATGCAAGTGCTTGGGCTTGTGGGGACTGAAACAAAGGGCAGCAAAGTTTAACTCCATTAGCAGTAGTAAAGTAAGTTTTCTTGGGATTCAGGATGTCTCTTGTGAAACAGGTACTTGCCAAAGGACTCAAAATTGTATTGTGCATAATAAAGATGACATCTAGTGATCAGAGAGGAAATCACAGTTCTCTGTTTCTAGAGGAAATCACAAGAAACTGGAAACATACAATGGAACCCAGTGCAAATAAGCTTCTCCAGACAGGATGAATGTTTCAAGAGGCTGTGGTACTTGTTGCTATAGTTTTTGTTTTTTCTTATGATGGGGACTGGTTAGTAGCCATTGTCCTTCAAACCATACAATGCATTAAACAAATTGATCCCTGATTCCCCCCCCCCCCAAAAAAAACCCCTTTGAAATTGCTGGAACAAATGAAAGCTGAGGTGGCAGCAACCAGTAAAACATGGCAAAACTCACAAGCATATATTGCAAGAATTCATGCTTGTTTACACCAGTCTGGAAGAGGCCAGAGTCTCAAGTTGTCTAAAAACTGGACTGTCCCCTGTGAAATAGCTTGGCACATTTCAGCCATTTGTATGACCTTCTTCAGTGGTTGATTTAAAAAAAGGAAAATGCAAAAGAGTTATTGGCAACACATAAATTAAATGGATTATCCTCCCTATATTAGGAGCCAGTGTGGTGCAGTGGTTTGAACATTGGCCTATGACTCTGGAAACCAGGGTTCAAATCCTGGCTTGGCCGCTTAAATCCACTGGGTGACCTTGCGCATTATCAGTCAGAAATGACTTTACAATAACATAAATATCTAACAGGATGTTCGCCACAGATTTGGTGTAGCAGGCAGCTTGGACGATTTTTAAAAGATAATTTATTGCCCATTATCATTCTAATGAAACCCATCTTTTGGGTGAAATAATCAGGAAAGAAGGGTGAATATTAAACAAATACATACACACACCTGACCAAAACACATATTGACAATCTGACAGCTCACTTCCTAAACTTCTAAGAGGAAAGTTACTATATGGTCACTTCTTAATGGGTTAAATAAGAGAATAAGGGGAAATTTAAAAAAATATATTTTACAGAAATCAAGGTCATGGAGTTACCAACTGCAACAGAAGGCTATTAAGAGAGAGTTATCAATAGAGTTTTAATTTAATTAATTTAACAGAGTTTAAATAAAGCCATACATATGGTACACACTGATCAGAAAAGAGAGAGTGAAATGATTCTATAAACAGCATAAACTGCAAACCAACTTTTGATAGTATAATTCAAAGAGAAGAAAGCAGCATTAGTAAGTACTGACATATTCCACAGGGTATACTGTATCTTTGGGTATGAGACTAAGGGGGGATGCAGACAGGCAGCCCCAGGAAACAGAAGATCAAGACCGAGGCTGCCAGACACGTTGGCCCTGATCCTCCCTTTTGCCACCTGGGAAAGGAGCTCCAAAACACCGCTCCTTTCACAGGTGGCAAATAGGGCACCCGAAGAGCCTTGCAGCGTCCCTTCTGGCGCAGCATGTTAAGACGCTGCACCAGGAGGACGTCTTGATGGTGTGCACCATGCGCAATGGCACGCACCATGACGACGTCCTTGGAAAGGGATTGGGGTGCCTGGTGTGTGGCTGCCCCTCCCCTCCCCTGCCTCCAAGATGGCGCAAAGTGCTGTCTATAGAGGCACTAAGCCTCTAATTTATTTACAAAGAACTCATAACATTTGTAGCATATTGATTGGTGTTGTGGTTTGAATGTAGGACTAGGGCTGCATCCACACTGCAGAAATAATCCAGTTTGACACTACAGTGAACTCAATGCATTTCAGGCCTCTATTTGATACCGTGTAGATCTGTAGAAGATAGTTTGTTCATGTATTTTTTTTGAAACAACTAAATTAGTTGCTGCCCTGAAGAAAATTCAGCAGACTAGAAATGCACATAGCGAATAAATTAACCTCTGTGTATAAGGTACTCTCACCAGCACCACCAACCTGCCTTAATACAAATATTACATTTCAAAGCACTGAACCACCTTATGTGGATTATACACAAAGAGAGAGGTCACCAAACTCTGCTCAGCTTTCCGTGATGCATTAAGAATATGAACTAGGCAGGAAGGAAAGTCTATCCAAGTTAGGAAACAAAGCAGAGTACAAATAATGTATTGTCAGAATTGGGAATCCGAACTTCCCACAGAAATCAGCAAAATTTTGAATGACTATCAAAACAGCAAAGGATCTGTCTACCCTCAAAGCAGATACACAAACATGACAGCTTTCACTGTGCAGAGTGTGACTTACAAGAGGATCTGTGAATACTGAAACAGAGAATTCTTCAAAGAGAACGAAGTTACTAATTATAGCTTCATCTGATACATATAATTACAGATCAGTTTATCCAGTATGGCAAATTTCAGTCCTTTCTGATCTCCGGCTATTCATGTAGCATAATGTCATATCATTCAGATAAACAGCAATCATGCAGATGTTTTGCAAAAAAAAAAAACCCAACTGATTATACCAAAGAATTTCAAGCTTTTTCAATAACAGCACATAAAGAAACCAAAAAGGGGGTGGCGGGTGGCGTGGTGTGGGGATGGGATTTGTTGCCCAGCCTTCTGAAAGACTGAAGGTTGCCTCACAGTAAAAAGTATTGCATTTATATTACTGTCATAATATGAAATGCAAAGCATAACTATAAGCACTCACTTGGTTAAATACACAAAGGTCATGTTCATGTTCATGAAATTTTCATTTGCAATAGATTGACTATAATTTTTGACTATGCTTGCCAATAAAGTTTACTGTGGAATACCAATGGAACTAATTCAAAATTAAGATGGCAGAAAATATTTCTCATTAGCACTTACCCCCCAATGTATTGTTCATAATGGTACTTACCTATAAAAAAAACAAAAAAAGTGTAAGTGATTAGCATATATGTAAATGACAACAACAGAAAAGATTACATCAGATTAAAGTGTGTTATTCCAAATTATATAAGGCATTCAATTTTTTTTTAATTAAACCATACAATTAGGAATATAGAATGATTAGCAGCACAGTTCTTTGCATTGTGACTCAGGCTTAAGTTCCATTAGGTTCCAGAGACATAGACAGAAGGAGAAATTTAATGGACTTCAGCATTTGATGAAGTTTACATTCAACATTTCTAAATAAACAGGGATACAAGAACTGTTTTTAAGGTGGAGTGGTGGCTCAAGACTAGCAAGCAGGTCATTGTGAATTCTGTGTTCTTGTGTGTACATCACACAAAATATAATGAATAGCAATAATGATGACAAAAATGATCCAGTTAAAACAGTGAAGAATGTGACTATCATAAAAACAATGACCAAATAATAAAAGTGAAGTATTATATTGCTTAAAGCATAAAAATAATATTTTAAGGAAAGGACTATATGTGTTGTTGATCGCCATCAAGTTGACCCAATGAATGAGAGAGCTCCAAGTCACTCTGTTATCCAAACTCCTGCTCAGATCTCGCAGACTCAAGGCCATGGCTTCCTTGATTGAGCCTATCTACCTGGAATGCAGTCTTCCTCTTTACCTACTGCCTTCTACCTTACCAAGCATTATTGTCTTTTTTAGTAAGTCTTGTGAGTAATAATATGTCCAAAGTACGACAGTTTCAGTTTACTCATCATGGCTTCTAGGGAAAGTTCAGGCTTGATTTTCTCTTGGACCCATTTATTGGTCCATAGTATCTGCAGAACTCCTCTCCAGCACCTCATTTCAGATAAGCTGATTTTCTTCTTATCAGCTTTATTCACTGTCCATCCTTCACAATCATACAGACATTGGCAATATGATGGCATGGACAATCCTAATTTGAGTATTCAGGAGCTTGTCTTGTTGCTTCATAGCTACCCTTCCAAGTCCTTGACTGCATCTGTACTGCAGAAATAATGCAGTTTGACACTGCTTTACCTGCCATGGCTCAATGCTATGGAAGCCTACCATTTGTAGATTTCTGAGACATTTAGCCGTCTCTGTCAAAGAGTTCTGATGCCACAACACACAACAAATCTCAGGATTCCATAGCATTGAGCAATGAGTATTAAAGTAGTGTCAACCAGCATTATTTCTGCAGTGCAGATGCAGCCCTAGAAATCTTCTTCCAATTTCTTGACTGCAGTCTTCATTCCAATGACTGAGCCAAGGTGTGGAACTATTGAACTATTTCAATGTCTTCATCATCTACTTAAAAGTTATGTAAATTATCTGTGGTCATTATTTTTTGTTATCTTTTGTTATCTTAATGTTCAGCTGTAATGTTCCCTTTGCACTTTCTTCCTTGACTTTCTTCAACAACTGTTCCAAGGATTTGCTGTTTTCTGCTAGTAGTATGATGTCATTTGCATATTTTTTATTATTGAGGTTCCTTCCTTTAATTGAAAAAATGCAAAAGCTATACATTAGAATACTATTGACTGGCAGTTCATCAGAGGATTCAACTATACAGGAATCTTGGTGGTCCTGATCCTTGGCACCTGATCATTTGGGAAGGATCAGCCTCCATAGCTTAGTCTTAGGGGAAACTCAAGCCCTCTTCCGTGCCCCCTCATCCATTCTAGGATTCTGATCTTTGGGATTTTGCCTAATGTAATTTGACCATTTCTTCAGAAGTCAAAAATGTAAACATATCTATATTTCATGTTAACACTGTACAATCAAATAAATTTATTTATTTATTTATTTATTTATTACTGGGCATTTGTTCCATCCCATTTTTACATCAAGTTCTGTAAAACAGCCAGCATGAAAATTTACATAAGTAAAAAACATCAACAACTATACAGTTCTTCCTTTTGGTACATAATCATCTTAAACCAATCCTGTACATTTTTTTTTTAACTGCAGAATTGCAACCTATTAGAGAAGTGTGAAAACCCAACAATGATTGCATTCCATTTTATGTATTAGTGTAAAAAAATATGAATGTGGTTAATTCATTTTATATTAAAATGCAAATTACAGAAACGTCTCTCTTGTTTTTGTAATATCAAGTGGAACTTTAAAGAGACAATATATACTATAAAATAGTGCATCATAAATAAAGGGTGATGACCAGACATTTCCACTAACTTCAAAATGAACTTTTATGCTTTCTGAAATTCTTAAGAAGAAATTGCTCTCTAACAGCAAACCATATTCTCTGCTGATGGAGTTAAAGGCTCAGCTATTCCCTTTTCTGGTATGCTGCATATACACAAAGCCTTTTTAACAACAACTGCAAATACATTTATATTACTAGAAGCTTTATTATTGTGCTATACTTTAATAGGGTGTTTTTTTGTTTTTGTTTTTTTAGAAATTAAGGAATAAAAATTCAGCATGTGTTATGCCCTTAAACCTAAATAGCAATTCTGCTTATGTAAAAATTTGAATAATTTTAGACACGAACAGAACAAACTCTGCAGTACAATCTAACACGATCCATTAACTGAATACAAGTACATTTTTACAGTCTCTTTTCTTCTGAACAAGCTACTATGGTTTTCTGACAGTGCCAAGAAACACACAGGCCAGCATATAAAGAACCATATAACTAGTTCCAGGTGTACAAAGGAGAACTGGATTTGTCATTCCTTCCTCCACCACCATTTGAAATTGAAAAATATATTCAACTGAAATGAAATTAAAACAGATCTTGATATGGCCTAGGGTAGGTGCTTACAATCTGGTGCCCATCTGACATGTTGTACTACAACCT